TCTCACTGCCTCACTCTCTCACTGTCTCACTCTCTCACTCACTCACTGTCTCTCTCTCTCTCTCTCTCACTCTCTCTCTCACTCACTCTCTCACTCTCTCACTGTCTCACTGCCTCACTCTCTCACTGCCTCTCTCACTCTCTCACTCACTCACTGTCTCACTGCCTCACTTTCTCACGCTCACTGTCTCTCTCTCACTGCCTCACTCTCTCACCCTCTCACTGCCTCACTCTCTCTCTCACTCGCTCACTCACTGTCTCACTCTCTCACTCTCACTGCCTAACTCTCTCACTGCCTCACTCTCGCACTCTCTCACTGCCTCACTGTCTCACTCTCTCACTGCCTCACTCTCTCACTGTCTCACTGCCTCATTCTCTCTCTCTCACTGCCTCACTCTCTCACTGTCTCACTCTCACTGCCTCACTCACTCACTCTCTCACTGCCTCTCTCACTCTAAAAAAAAAAAAAAAATCAAACATCTAATCTTCAACTGCTCCAAAAATTAAACAGTACTTAAAAATCAATTCAACCTTAACCACACACATCAAAACAATTCGAGCTGTGAAATGTATTTGCAATACACCTTTAAGTAACAGATGCAATTTCATAAATATCCTATTATTATTCCTTGACTGAATTTTTGTTTTATCTCACTCAAAATAAACCTGTCCTTTTCCAGAGGTGCAGCTGGTGGTTTTGAACTGCCACCTTTCTGGACTGCAGTCCAAAGTGTAAAATACACGTTATAATTACAGGCAAAAATAATGCTTCTAACTCATAACATAGTGCCATACCCTTTTGGTTATACTGGGCTACTGATTTTCAAATACTCATAAATGTGAAAATGTTAAATGTGAACATACTATTATCACTATTATGGTAGTCTGGGTTGACTAGAGAAACAAATTTATAGACACTCATGTGTATAAGAAAGAACTTTATACAAAGAGCAATTATACATTAAGAAAACACCCTAGGCCAGTCCAGATCAAGTCCATAAGTTTGATATTAACCCATATGTCCAATACTAGTCTATAAATTCCTCTTCAGACTCACGCAACACATGCAATGATGCCAAATGCAGCAAGATCACAGGCTAGTGGGTGGGAAAATGGCGGTGGAAGCATCTCACAGCTGGTGTGGGTCTCCACGTGGGTCCTCCAGCTACAGGGCTCTGGCTCATCAGAATAGCTAGCTCCATATGGCTTGTCAACAGGAATGTCTCACAGGGAACGTGTGTGTCCCACCTCCAAGGAGGAAGATAGAAGTTCCCAGAGTCCTCAGGAGAAAGCCATGCCCACACAGAGGCCTCATTCACTATGACCTGATTGACAGACTAGATAGACTCCACTCCTTTGCTCAAGTTGACAGTAGATTATATAACTGCCACAACTATAATGTCATATTATTTATACATATAAATAGGGAAGGATTCTCTAATAAAATTTAATGTGCATACTTTCCTATTATGTTTATCAAATGAACACAATGAACTTTTTTGTCACTTTTAAAACAAATAAAAATTAAGGAAATATTCACTACCCACTCTTCCAAGAAACTAGCCAACAAAACAGATCTCATTTCCACACCAACTTCCTTGGAATCATTTTCCTGACCTCCTTCAGTTGGTCTGTACTGCCCCAGGATGCTGAGCGCTTGTGAGACCCTTTCTTCTTTTCAGCATATTCTTCAGCCCATGCACTTTCTGTCTATAATACAAAAAAAGGGAGGATTATCTTAATAACATAGTCATTTAACAATAATGCATACCACATTTTTGTATTATAAAATACAATCCCATTACAGAAATAATAACACTAACACAAATTAGCTTACTTCAGTTTTCCATTTCAGGTACTACAATTGGAAATACATCTGTAAATTTAATGTGTATCTAACAAAGGAGTGGCCAATGTAGTCATACAGCATCTGGGAATTAGCTCATTTGGAATTAGAGCTATTTGATACAGTCTAAGAAGAGAGAATTAGATTCAAAGGATGAAAATCATGGAGAGGCAGCTTTCCATGCCACACAATGAAGAACTTCCTTCATTTGGCAAATTTCTTGGTATCTGTATCTCACGAATTTTTGTGAAACAGAAAAAGAATTTTTGTGAAATTCAACTTTTTGACATCTTCATTCAAGAACTTGTATATGAAAGATTCTAACATTTTCCTTTCCTTGAACTAACATATCCTAATTTCAACCAGTTAAGATCAATGTTTTATTCAAAAGAATAACTATATCTAAAAAGCTAATTTCAAAAAGAAAAAATGTGTATCTGTTTCTTCAGCACTCTCATTTCAGATGTAATTTTTTAGTGTTGGTTATATCTACTAAACCTGTAATAGCTGTTTTGCTACAGATTCTAGACTTTTCTTCCAATAAAAGGAAGCCTCTAAATAAGTTTGTAAACTTAGAAGTAGCTATCTTAAATAGTTTTAGGAGCCCTGGTGGCATAGTGGTTATGTGTTGGGCTGCAATCCAAAAGGTCAGCAATTCGAAACCACCAGCAGCTCTGCTGGATAAAGACAAGGCTTTCTACTCGCATGACAAAGAGTTGTGCTCCAGAAACTCACGGGGCAGTTCTACCTGGTCCTATTTGTCCTACAAGGTTGTTGTTAGTTAGCATTGACTCGATAGCAGTAAGTTTGTTTCTTGGTGGCGATATGTGTTAGATGGTGGTTTGCTAATTGAAAGGTCATTGGTTCAAGACCAAAAGTTACTCCTCAGGAAGAGGATAAGGCGTTCTGCTTCTGTACAGATTTACAGTTTTGAAAACCCTATATATGGTCAATATGAGTCAGAATCAACCTGATGCTAATGGGTTTAAATAATTTAGCATTGTTTTAGATTCTGGTTTATACATTTTTTAAGTTGGTTAACTATAGTCTATCTTGCAAAGTTTCTGGATGCTAATCATTATTTCAAGCTAAGCCACAAATTAAATTTTTTTCATTAAAAAATAATCAAAATCCATCTCTGAGAGGGGAAAATTAGCCTCTGGTATACAGCAGATGCAAGAGAAATAAGATTTTTTAAAGTAAAAAATGACTCATCTGTGCAAAAAAGAAAACACTCTTAAGTGTCGTAAATTAAAGACTCAGCCCCCTGTGCAAGGAAAAGTGACCTAGGCAGTTAAAGAAGTAGAAGTTGGAAAAAGAAAACTCTTTAAATCAGAAGACTCCCAAATAATCCAAACTCATGTACACATCTTTTCTTTCTTAAAGCTGGTATAGTCAGCATGAGCAAAGAAGCAACTACCCACTGAAAATAATGTAGTTGAAATAAACAACTGCTGAATTATAACCTCTTTTGAGATCATTCTGACAAGTGGTTGATAAACATTTTTCTTTTTCCTTTTTAATCATTTTATTGGGTACTCGTACAATTCTTATCACAATCCACACTTACACCCATTGTGTCAAGCACATTTGTACATTTGTTGCCATCATCATTCTCAAAACGTTTGCCTTCTACTTGAGCCCTTAATATTGACTGCTCATTTCCCCCCTCCCTCTCCACTTCCCCTTCCCTCATGAACCCTTCATAATTCATAAAATATTATTATTTTGGTTAAACTGTCCCTCGCCTCACCCCCCACCCTCTTCTCTGCTGTCCATCCCCCAGGGAGGAGGCTATATGTAGATTCTTGTAATTGGTTCTCCCTTTCCACCCCACATTCCCTCCACCCTCCAGGCATCGCCACTCTCACCACTGGTCCTGAAGGAGTCATCTGCCCTGGATTCCCTGTGTTTCCCATTGTTATCTGTACCAAAGTATATCCTCCGGACTAGCCAGATTTGTAAGGTAGAATTGGGATCATGATAGTGGAGGGGGGAAGAAGCATTTAAGAACTAGAGGAGGGGAGAGGAAATGTTTTGAGAATGATGAGGGCAATAAATGTACAAATGTGCTTTACACAATTGATGTATGTGTGGATTGTGTTAAGAGTTGTATGAGCCCCTAATAAAACGATTTAAAAAAAAAGAGAGAACTAGAGGAAAGTTTTATGTTTCATCGTTGCTACCCTGTACCCTGACGGCTCATCTCCTCCCCACAAACCTTCAGTAAGGGGTGTCCAGTTGCCTACCGATGGGCTTTGAGTCTCCACTCTGCACTCACCCACATTTACAATGATAACTTTTTTTGTTCTTTGATGCTTGATACCTGGGTTGATAAACATTTTTCATGAACATCGTTTGGAGGGAGTGGAAGGGTGGTAGCAGAGTTTGGTGATAGTGTAGTATTAAGCTGTGTACCAAACTTGAAAGCAGGAACAGCAAACTAATCTTGTAAGGCAATTAATTTTGTAAACTATCTCTAATCCATTGGCAATGATACTAGAGCACTGTGTTAGAAGGATTCCCAGGCTACCTGAGCTCACAGGGAATGAGTAATGGCTGCCAAAGGCACAGCAAGAAAAAAAAAGAAGAATAACACATTTTTCCTACCTGTGTGTCAAGTAATTACACCAACAAATAATCATATACAGTAAAACCCTATTAATTAATTCATTCAGACAACCAAAGGAAAAACAACAGGAGGTGGGGTAGAAGGGCACATTAACATCTTTAAAAGCTTATTCCCATATTCTTAACATTTTTGTGTGTGTATTTTCCAGAACCTCCTTAGGTCTGTATCAATTTCTCCTCCCCCATCAGGAGCCAGGGGTTACGCAGGATCTAAGAGTGTTACATAATTATTTCACATATGAAAAACCTGGGCTCAGAGAGGTAACATGATCTGACTTGTCAATGTCTATAAACCTCTTGGAAGAGCCATCTACAATATAAGATAAATTGTCTCCTGGTAGAGCACTATGCAATAATAAGATTCTGAAGGACCTGGGTGGTAAATACTTTCTGTTAATCAGTCATACTCATCATTAGCCCAAATCTTTTTCAATATAATTCTCCAAGAAGTCAATAGCAATTGATCAAATTGACAAGGAGATGAAACTTTTATGTCATCCGTGTTCTGATCTCCCAATAATCATAAGTAATAATTTTTACATGAGTTGAAAGCCCAGTCTTTCTCCCACAGAATGGCTAGTGGTTTTGAACTGCTGACCATGTTGATTGCAGCCCAAAGCATTGCCACTATACCATACCACTAGGGCTCCCCCGGTAGTAATAATTTCAACAGCAAATATTAAATGGTCAATATATGCCACATACTATTCTAAATGCTTTACATCTATTTCCTAGCTAAATCCTCATAATTGCCTCATTGCTATTATAAAACTCTAACAAAACAAACTCATTATCATTGAGTAGATGCTGACTCATATCAACCCTATAGGACAGGATAGAATTGCCCCTGTGAGTTTCCAAGGCTAACTTAACTTATAGGGGTAAGAAGTCTTTTTTTTTT